CTCTGAAGGGCCCTGGACGAAGCACTCGGGTCACGGTCACCATGCCAACCCGCTGGGACTAGTACACGCATGCTTGGGCAGCAAGTCCTTGGTACTGCTGCTTGCACAATAGAGGTCGTGCAGGGCATGCCAGCCTTTTATGAGACGCCTACCAGACCGTCTATAAATATTTCTGGCTGGGGACTCGGATCTGAATCTGGCTGTGATCGTCGTCCTGTCTGCGACGTTAAATAATTCCTGAGGAGATGGGGGCTCTCCTTAAATCCCTCCTGATCAGCCAGATCAACCGGGTGTAAGGCTCGTTCCGGATTGCACACCTTTAGACAAGCTGCTCAACCAGATGCTCAGGAACGTTGACATAAAGAGACCACTCAAGAAGGATAGAGGGGGACGGGGGGACTCCGGTAACTGTTTACAGTGGCAATCAACTATCAATCTGCCATCCAGTATACATCTCCAACAGGAGATGTTATTTTTATTTTGATTATCTGGTTGTTACCGACTTGACTAACAACTGACAGACAACTACAGATAGATTGGATCTTTGCTGTAGTACAATCTGCTCCAGGGTAATCTAAAAAATAGAATTTATATATCCTGTAGGACCTGACATTAGTTGTTAATATATCACCTAACTGTTTTTGTTACAGCCGACCGAAATTAGTTGTAATTCATAATCGGTTGTGTGTCAGGCTAAGGTAGGATTCAGTGTGGATTGTAGTTTAGATCACACACACTATAGCTCATGAGTGATGCAAGCACTAGTGAGGAGGAGTTGCTAGTGGATGACCGTAGGACAACTCGCGGGACTGCTCGTAGTCGACCCTTGACATTCTTGGAGTTAGGTCCAGGACTAGAGAGAGAGCAGCAGCAAGGAGAGCGAGGGCAGCTGAGGATGGTGCCAGGACTAGAATTTCAGCTAGTACCGGTGCAACCATGGGTACCTCATCCATGCCGCAAGTCTCTACACAGTCCACTTCGTCAGGAGTCAGTCGGAGTGGTTCTCAGGTTTCCACTAGTCAGATTGCTAGCTTGCGAGTCAGCCAGCAAATTCAACTCACGCCAGAGGATTTAGAAATCCGGCAAGCAGAAGAACTTCAGGATGAGCTACAGCGGTAGTTGGACGAGGCAGCAGAGAGGAGAAGAAAAACCATACTTAGGAAGGCTAGACTAGGGAGTAGAATGCAGGAGCTAAACAGACTGGAAGGACTAGATGAGGCAACATTGGACCCTGCTGGTCGTGTGTTGCGTAATACTTTACTTTCAGTGGTTGAAGCGCAGAACGTCCAGCAGGAATTGCTGGCCGAATTGGTGGCAGGCCAGAAACAAATCCTGGCTGAACTTCGGGCTCCTCGCACAGTAGTGAGGCAGCGGCAGTTTGCTGTAGTTCCCCCTGTGGGTGCGGGTCCTTCATCGATGCCGCAACACACAGGGCAAACTTTCTCTCCTATGTTTGGCATACCCCCTCCAGGTGGTTTGGTAGCAACTAGTGGTCCGGTTCAAAGAGTCTCAGCCGTACCATCCACGACAGTGGTAACTACCGTCCCACTGTCAAGCCAGGCCCAGGTTAGTGTGCAACAGCCTGTTTCAGTGGCTATGCAGCCGCTGCAACAAGCCCTTGGGCCCATGCAGCCTATGCAATGGATGCCTAAGATACCCCTAATGAGTCCCAAACCCTTCTCTGGAGATAGAAAGAAGGAGGAGGACTTGGACACCTGGGTGAGGACTGTGCATACTTATGTGAGGCACAAGCTCACAAGGCCAGAGCAAAAAGTTGTTGTGGCTGCCTTTTTTCTAGTAGGGTCAGCAATTCGCTAGTTGAATGGCCTAGTGCAGCAACAAGGTTACGGTCAGGATTTCGATGCCTGGGCTCAGGCTCAGACATTGGAACAGTTCGTACGGTCCGTCTACAACAGGTGGCATGACCCGCAAGGGGCTCAAAAGGCCACCGATGCTATCAACAACCTTTGTTCCCGCATGTTCAAGGATGTTAGAGAGCTTACAGACACCGTAGAACGCCTTCTCGTGGTACCTGGTGTGCGTTTTGACCAGCAGGTTCTCCTGATTACCTAAGGTGCCTACCTGCAGAGGTAAGGACCAAACTGGTTGATGAGGCCTATGTTGAACAGCACACCTTCGCTTCTTTTAGTAAGAAAGCTCTGGACATAGAGGCAAAGCTGGGGTCTGCGCATAAGGTATCTCATGATGTTAGGATGAGACTCCCTCAGGACTGGAAGAAGAAAGGTCAGTTAATGTTCGTTGATCATGATGGTCAAACGACGGAGATTGATGAATTCCCAGACCTTGGGGAGTTGACAGAGCAGGATGGGGCCAGCGAGACTTCGGATGGGGGAGTCATGGCACCTATCAAGGAAAAGGCTATGGGGACTGGGAAGAAGAAGGTAGGACGGTCCGCGGGTCAGGGAGACCAAGGGACACCCGCATGGGTGAAGCTTGGTTTGGATTACGAGGTGTGGAGGGACCGAGTTGCTAGGGGCACTTGCATGAACTATGGCAATTATGGCCACACGTCGCGTACGTGCCGAGGCAAAAAGGTCACAACGAAGGTAGCCTCGCCAACAGTGGTGGGCTTATCTTCGAATCCTGGTAGTGCTTCTGCGAGCAGCTCATAGGGAAACACCTCGGGCCAGTAGGAGTGTTAGCCGCTCTTATTCGTGCTGAAGTGGTAACGTTGCCTTCCCCACTTCAGGCGTTGGCCAAGGCTAGAAACCCACATCGCCCCGCAGACACATTCAGACCCACCGACGCTCTGTTCGAGARATGTGTCTGAGGCCCTAGAAGAGTTAGAGACTGAGTGGTCAGGGAAGGACCCCAGGGACTCTTGGGCGATGATCAGTAGAGGTCCAAAGGGTGAACATTTCGTGGTAGAAGTAGATGTAGGTGGCCGCAAGGTTGGCGCCTTCGCAGACATAGGCTCTACACRAAATTTCATCAGTCGTGCTTGTGTGGATAGACTGTGCTTAGGGGACCAAGTGCAGCGACTTAGCAGAACTGTAGCTTCTACGCTAGCCAACAAGCACCAAATGGTGGTCAAAGACTATGTCAAGGACGTAGCCTGCACCTTCTCCTATGGAGGAGGGGAAGTGATCCACAAGATCTCCTTCCTGGTGAGCGACGAACTGCCATTCGATATGCTACTAGGCATGTACTACCTCGAAGTCTCGCAACCTCAGTTTGACTGGGATAAAAAGGTGTTGATCCACAAACTGCCAAATGGTAGAACTGTTAGATTGCAGAAGTATAAAGCTAGCAGTCTAATAGAAAACTACGGGTGTATGTGCGCTTCATCCTTCTATAACTACTATAAGCAGAATCGAGAGGAGGGCATGTATCTAGTCTTTGTCTCTAAGAAAGGGGAGGCCGTTAAAACACCCCCACGGATAGAAAGAGTCGTCGCACAATATTCAGACGTTTTTGAGGAGCCCACAGGCGTGGTGGAAAGGGAGGTTGTACATGCGATAGAGATTGTCCCAGGTAGCAAGGTGCCTATAGGATGTCTCCCGCGGAGTTAGATGAGCTTCGCCGCCAGCTCAAGGAGATCACATAGAAGGGATGGATACGGCCTAGTACCTCCCTTTACGGTGCGCCAGTCTTATTTGTCCCAAAGAAGGGAGGTCCATTAAGGATGTGCATTGACTATAGGGGCCTCAATGCCATCACCGTTAAGAACGCGGAGCCCCTACCCTGCATCGACGACCTCTTGGATAGAGTGCAGGGATGCCGGTACTTCACAAAGATAGATTTGAAGTCTGGATACCACCAACTTGCCGTTAGACCTGAGGACCAACACAAAACCCCATTTCAGACCAGGTACGGTCTGTACGAGTTTGTGGTGATGCCTTTTGGCCTATGCAATGCGCTTGGTACATTTCAGCACGCGATGAACCGGATATTTCACGAGTACTTGTACAAGTTTATATTCGTGTACCTCGACGATATTCTTATCTTTAGTAGGACTGTAGAGGAGCACGCTGAGCATTTGAAAACAGTGTTAGGTCTCCTAAGACAACACCAGTACAAGGTTAACTTGGACAAATGCGAGTTTGGTCGCACCAAAATCTTGTACTTGGGTCATGAAATCTCAGTAGATGGATTGAGGCCGGAAGATGCCGAGGTGGCCAGCATACGTGACTGGCCCAAATCTTAGACAGTTACTGAGGTCAGATCGTTTCTGGGGATGATGGGCTATTATCGTCCGTTTGTGAAGAACTATAGTACTATAGCTTCCCCATTAATAGATCTAACTCGACTTGACACCCCTTGGGAGTGGACTGAAGAGTGTGAAGCAAGCTTCAAGAAATTGAAGTATGCACTGACACACTATGAAGTTCTCAAACTTCCTGATCCTGACAAGCCGTTTGTTGTGACCACAGACGCCAACCAATATGGCATAGGCGTGGTCCTTGCGCAACAGGAGGGGCCAAAGTTGAAACCGATCGAGTACATGAGTAAAAAGATGCCTTCTCAAAAATTAGCTAAGTCCACTTATGAGAGAGAGCTCTATGCCCTGTACAGAGCGCTAGTTCATTGGAGACACTACCTCCTAGGAAGATTCTTCTATGTGAGGTCTGACCATGAGACTTTGCGCTGGATTAAGGCACAGCCTGTGTTGTCAGACGCACTCAAGAGATGGATTCAAGTGATAGACATGTATTACTATCAACTTGATCCTATCAAGGGTACGTATAACAAAGTGGCTGATGGAATATCGCGAAGGGCAGATTATCTAGGCGTGCTAGTCACTGAGTTTGGCATATATGACGAACTCACTCGATCGCTGGTGGAAGCCTATCGGGGAGACCCGGTCATGTCAGAAATCATCCGTAGATTCCAAACAAAGGACAACAAGACTTTGGATGAATTTGCGATGGTAGATGGCTTGCTGTTCCTTGAGAAGGCAGGGAATAAAAGATTATGTGTAGCTAATAGTGAGTCTTTGCGAAGTTTATTTTTAGGAGAATGTCATGATGCAATCGGTCATTTTGGCTATAAAAAGACATCAACGAACTTAGTGCAAAGATTTTGGTGGCCTTCTATGTTAGAAGATGCAAAGCGTTATGTTGAAACCTGCCAGGTTTGTCAAAGGGACAAACCAAGGACTCATGCTCCGTTTGGGTTGATCAAACCCTTGCCGATCCCTGAAGGACCAGACCAGAGTGTGTCCATGGATTTCATGGATACCCTTGTGACCAGCAGGTCAGGAAAGAGACACATCTTTGTCATAGTGGACCATTTTACCAAGTACTCCAGACTGATCGCTATGCCTGAAACTGCTAAAACCAACTTCGTCATCAAACTTTTCATGGATAACTGGGTAAGAGACTTCGGTCTACCTACGTCCATTGTTAGTGATAGGGATGTCAGATTCACGAGCGAACTGTGGCAATCTACTGCTGAACAAATGGGCACAAAACTCCAAATGACTTCAGGAAATCATCCTGAGTCAAATGGGCAAGCAGAACAAATGAACCGAGTAGTATAGCAATTGCTTAGGCACTATATCAAGCCAAGTCAGGACGACTAGGACGAGAAACTACCTCTCGTTGCCAGCCTGTACAACAATGCTGTGCATAGTACTACCGACATGACTCCCAACCAACTGCATCTTGGTTGGAAGCCCCGAACCGCCCTTGACTTTCTGCTACCAGAAAGAGAACCCACTGCAGCACCCGACAGCATAAAGTTTGCTGTCAAGTACGAACAGATGCTGCAACAGGCCGTTGAACACATTAGGAAGTCTCAAGAGGCAATGATTGCATCTGAGAATAGACATAGACGGTCCTCTAACTTTAAGGTAGGCGAGAGAGTCTGGATTAAGGCTGCTGAGCTTGGTCAGGAGTTAGGCATATCCCGCAAGCTAATGCCACAGTTCTTTGGGCCCTGGGAGATCTTAGACATTGTAGGAGATCAACCAGACGGTCCTTCATATGTAATCCGCATCCCACCTCACTTGCATACCTACCCTGTGTTCCATGCCTCTAAGTTAGCACCCTTTGCTGCTACTGAGCAGTTCCCTTCCAGAAGATCAATGCTGCCCCCAACCATGGATGGCGAAGTGGACATTGACCAGATCGTCGAGCATCGAGTGATGCCTGTTCCTCGACCATCAGGCATAGGGCGGCCTCCTAAACCGAGAATGCAGTATCGCGTGAGCTTCAGACATCATCTGGATTCTAAGGAAGATCGGTGGTTCACACGAGAAGAACTCATGAGAACAGCACCTCAAGTAATCGCAGGCTATGAAAGAGCACTCAAGGGGAAGATGCCTGCAGAATAAGAGACTTCTCAGAGGACTCACGAAGATAAGGAGGAGGGAATGTGAGGATCAGGGTCCTCGGTAGGCCTATGGGGCCCTGTTTGCTGATTCAGGCACTCGCATGCTAGCGGCAACGCTGCTGGAGCAAAGGCTCGCGGCTGCTGGCTGGCGCTGAGAGGCGAGGTGAGCACGTGCGGTCGTGCAGAGGAGGAGGGCGCTGCTGAGGGCAGCGCCATAGCCCAGCCACCATAGCTGGTGGGCTTGGACTACAGTGAAGCGCAGGGGTGGTCTTCGGGTGAAAGAGAGGACAGGTGTGGGTGTAGTCAGGGGATAGGTGAAGGATGATGATGATGATGATGATGTGAGGGCACTTACCTTGTACTGGCGATGGTCTGCATGGGCGACATCTACTTCGGGCTGCCGCTGATGTCAACAGTGGCATCGTCTTTTTGTAGTCTGTAGTAGCTGTGTAGGAGTAGGCTGGGCGCTGAGCGCCAAGTGTGAGTGTGAAGGAACTGGACTCTTGTGTTGAGAGGAGAGAGTATGCTC